GAGAAGGATGGCAGCTCTGAGAGGTTTGGGCACCATGGTTTAGCCAGGAGGCTTTATGTTTGAGTTATAGCCAGGAGGCTCGAGTTTATGTTCGGCTTTAATATTACACCGGAGGCTTGGGTGAGGCTGTAGGGGTTGGAGGAGGCCTCATAGGAACCCCAGAGGGGTGGGGCCCCAGCGCCAGCGAGGGCGCAGCGCCAGTGCAGGCGCAGCTCACAGTGAGGAGCGCAACCAGTAGGTTGCAGGCGGGGAACAAAGACCTCGGGCTGTGTGCGGGGTATGTAGACCCCAGCCCCAGAGAGGGGCAGCCTTGAGAAGCCCCAGCGCAGGCACAGCCAGCCCCAGAGAGGGGGTGCTATTGTTAAAGAGCCCAGCGTGGGCACAGCGAGCCCCAGAGAGGGGGTGATATTATTGAGAAGCTCGGCGCAGGCGTGTAAAGTCCCCGAGAAGGGGGAGACTGTTGAGGAGCCCGAGACGGGCGTAGCAAGCCCGGGTAGTGGGCTAGTGCTGCAATAGACCTCAGACACGGGCAAGGTGCTGTGGTGGACCCCGACGACAGGGGTTAGCAGCACAAAGCCCAGGAGAAGGGCAAGGTGCGACGGTGGTCCCCGGCAAGAGGGGATAGCAGCACGGTGCGCCCGGAGGGGGGAGGTTAGCAGCGCGGTGGGCCTAAAAGACCATAGGGCTCGATACGAGTTCCCAGAGGGGATAAGGGTCCCTGAGCGGGACAACACTATTAGAGAGAGCCCAGAGTGGGCTAGATTACAGAGGAGGCCCGGGAGAGCGGGCAAGTTGATTTGTGACAGGACAACGTCTATCCCATCAGCGAGGCTTGGGGCATGGTATTAGGGGTGGTAGGAGCCACGCGTAGCCCATAAGGCTAGGGTGCCCCAAGGCACTCAGGGGTGCAGGATAAGACTACACGAGGGGTCCAGGAGTTTACGTGCCCAAGGAGACGCAAGGCAGCCTCCCAACCTTATTTAACAGCAAAGACGTGGCGGGCGAGATTCGAGGGTGCCCTTGGGCTGAATTGGCAGGGGGAAAGGGCCTTAAGGAGATCACGGCCCTCCTAAAGGTCCCCGCCGTGACAATACGGTATCTCATTCTGTTCTCGTAAATAAACCAACAGGCTGTGATGTAGATGATTATGCGGTCAGGTGGGTGGCAAATTGGCTCAGGGGTTGCACCCAGAGAGTGGTGGTGATTGGGTTGATATCGACCTGGAAAGATGTGGACAGTGGAGTCCCGCAAGGCTCAGTTCTTGGACTGGTGCTATTCAATGTCTTCATCATTGACTTGGACAAGGGAATAGAGAGCACCCTGTCCAAGTTCACAGATGATACTAAATTATGGGGCAAAATTAACACAGTAGAGGGTAGGGAACAGATCAGTCAGATTGGGACAGGTTGGGAAAATGGGCAGAACGAAATAGGATGCAGTTCAACAAATACAAGTGCAAAGTGCTGCACCTGGACAAAAAGAATCGCCAGCACGCAGGCTGAGGGATGACCTTCTCAGCAGCACAGCAGTGGAACGGGATCTTGGAGTTATAGATGAACATGAGTCGTCAATGTGACAAAGTGATCAACAAGGCTAACCGCACTTTATCATGCATTAGCAGATGCATGATGAACAGGTCCAGGGAGGTGATGCTCCCTTCTTTGCGGCACTGGTCAGGCCGCAGTTGGAGTACTGTGTCCAGTTTTGGGGGCTGCACTTCAAGAGAGATGTGGAGAATCTTGAGAGGGTCCAGAGGAGGGCCACTCATGGTCAGAGGCCTGCAGGCAAGGCCCTATGAGGAGAGACTGAGGGAGCTCACAAGAGAAGGCTGAGAGGTGATCTTATGGCTACCTATAAATTCATCAGGGGAGGGCAGCAGGGAATAGGAGATGCTCTATTTACTAGGGCACTCCCTAGAGTATCTAGGAACAATGGCCACAGATTGACAGAGAGCAGATTTAGGTTGGACATTAGAAAGACCTTCTTCACAGTAAGGGTTGCCAGAATCTGGAATGGGCTTCCAAGAGAGCTGGTGCTCTCCCCTACTTTGGGGGTCTTCAAAAGGAGACTGGATAAGCATCTAGCTGGGGTCAGATGACCCCAACGCTCTTTCCTGCCCAGGGAAGGGGGTCGGACTTGATGACCTACTGAGGTCCCTTCCGACCCTAACATCTATGAATCTATGAAAGGGGCCATGCTGCCCCTCTCCTTGCTACAGAAGAAAGCAACCTCCCTGCAGTTCGTGCCAATCTGACCATGGTGTAAAATTCCTGATCCCAAATGTGGTGATCAGTCTGATCCAGAGCAGAGGGGCAAGACCCTCTAGCCAGGGACCTCGAGGTTTTGGTTCCAGCACGAGCACTGGCATACCTCAGTCTAAATCCAATACTTCCAAAAAAGGCAAAAAAATCCCTGACACTTGTAGCAACAGTAGGGGGGAAAACTTCCCTCCTGCCCCATGGGGCAAGCAGCAAAGCCAAGAAACATGGGAAAACTAAAGACCCTCCATCCTGCTGTGCAACCTGGGGACAGCAAAGCTAACTCCACACATCATATTGTCTTATTGGCTCCCCTTTCTATATCCTCCCCATAAACTTATCAGCACTTTTAATCTTCTTTCAGAGCTAAGCCAGTTGTGGATCTCTGCGTAATTCTCCTACATCTGAGCACAGTCCTCTCTAATATCCACCTACTCTATGCTTCAGAGCTCTTATTATCTGCCAGAGATCCATGGGAGGTGAAGAGAGTCCTGGGGTTCTAACTGCTGCTGTTTACCAGGCAAAGCTACTTGTAGGTCATTCCTATCCAAAGCTTATGTAGAGAGAAAGTTGCTCAGAATTTACCCCAGACTTTTCATGTGATAATGGATAAATTAACTTACTTCCCTCTCTGTAACACGAAGGAACTTTTCTGCATGTGGAGTTTTGCAAAGTGTCGATTCAGCTGTAGGTAGCTTTTTCAATGTTAGTGTGACAGGTGCGTTGTCTCAAGGTTGATCACTACAATGACCTGCCCACCTATCTGGGCAATTTCCACCCCCCATCTCACCTGCCACATCTTTGATGTAATGAGTAAGTTGGTTGTAGGTGAGAGGCTACCCCTTTAATGCCCTAATGCCTAGGGCACACTACATGACTCTGACCTTCCCTTATCGTGTCCCATGCCTCACAGATGTTATAGTGTTATCAATTCTAGGCGCCACCTCAACACCAAGCCCTCCAGTTCCTGTCTCTCTGCACCACTCGGGTGCCAAGTTTTCTGCTGTCTAGCTTTCTGGGTCTCTCTCCCTGATGCCTGGCTCTGCCCCTTTCTCTGGCACCTGGCTCTCTGCACCTCTCTGGCACCCAGCTCAACATGCCCCTCACTAGGTTCTACCCAGATCATGTGCCCCTTTCTCCGAGCACTAATGAGGCCTCCAAACCTCCCCTTATAGCTTCATCCTGGTCTTCCAGATTAAACCATAACACAAATACAAGCCCCTGGACCACAACATAACAATGCTAATGGAGACTGGGTCTGTTTCTTTAAGGAGGTAAAACTTCTCTCCTTAGGACCACATCTCTTAGCCTTAGTTGCCTTAGACTCCTGGAGCCTCACTGTTCTTGTAGGAAGCACCTAGTCTCAGGTAGCTCATTGGTGCAGAAGCTCCTTTCCTTGGCAGTTGCTAGAGAGAGAGAGCCCCTACTAGCTCCAGCTCTGGGTTTATATCCCCAGGACCCTGCCGCCTGCCAGTAAGGACTTACTGCAAAGCACTGAGCTTGAATGTGTGTCATAGAGGGGTGGCACTAGTACTCTTCTGGCACATGCAGTTCCTCTTACATAACTCCAGAGATGGCATACATGGACAGCAGGTTTTAATACAGACAAGCCTCATGGCAGTTCAGCATATTTGTAGCTGTTACTTACACATTGAAGATATTGTATTTGCTATAGCTCTCTGGTGGTCTGGGAACCAGAGGGCTGCCAGCTTAGTCGGAGAAAAAATGATGAGTGGCTGTGCCAGTGCACAGAGGGACTGTCCCACAAACAGGAACAAGCTGCCCAAGATTCCATTTCTCACGTAATTCATGACACTGAAAGCCCGGATAACACAGCCAATCATGTTCAGCCAGGCACTGAGGATTATCTGCAACAAAGGGAGAAGGAGAGGAGTCACATAGTGAACTAGCTGTGGACTGAGAGGCTGAATTAAACTCTAACATGGTGCATGACTCCAGGCCTCCCAACCTGTAGCTATTCCATCTACAGAAAAAAGGCATTTATGCATCCATACTGGGCTGTGTGGATACCAATGGGTCATTTGCTGATTACAACTCACAGTGGGTGCGTCTACACAAGATGCTTTGCTTGAGATTAGAGCTAATTACTGCACAGTAGACATCACCATCTACACATGCATTACTATGCATTACACATGCTTACTGTGCAGTAATTTGCTCTAATGGCAAGTAAATTTGCTACCTGTAAATACAAGAAGCAAATTTACTTTCAATTAGATACTGCACAGTAGCGCATATGTAGATGCCTGACCAGGAACAAACATGCTTCCAGTCAGCCAAGCAGCAGGGGGAGGGAGATGGCTCCCTGCCCATGGGAGTTGCCTGCTGCCCGGGCAGACTCCACCACCAGAGCCTGGGCAGGGACTATGGCCCCCTGCCCGGGCAGCAGGGAGCTCCCAGCTCCTGGTTCACAATTGGGAAGGAGGGCCTGGGACATCCTTATCCTTATAAGAATCCCCAGCTTGGGCCCCCTGACCACAGGGCTCCTGCAGGGAGAAAAGAATCTCCCAGCCCCGGCCCCATGATCACAGAGAGGAGTCTGGGAGTTCCCTGATGCCAAGGCAAAGGGACATTGTCCCTTCCCAGGCTCCAGTGGCAGAGCCTGCCCAGGCAGCTCCTGGAGGCAGGGAGCAATGTCCCAGTCCCTGCCAAGAGATAGCCGTCTCCTGGCCCCATGCCCCCTGTCAGCCCCTAGGCTAGCACCCACACAGGGGCCTGGTGCAGGGCCTCAGGGAACAGAAGTAATCTGCTGCTAGGAGCAGCAGATCTGTTACCGCATCCCTGCACATGTAAACTTGTGCCCAGAGAGTTTACTTTCGAGTACTTTAGAGTAAATTGCTCCTGTATTATTTGCACATATGAATGCATCTACACGATACTTTACCGCAGTTTTCTGCTCAGTAAGTGTGCACATCTACACATGCACATGCTGACCATGCAGTAAACTGTGCTATTCATGAGTAAATTTGCTACCTGCAAATGCAAGTAGCAAATTTATTGGCAAGTAGTTACTGCGCAGTAGTGCATGTGTAGATACCAACCGGGAGCAAATTTGCTCCCCGTCAGCCTGTTAGCTACAAATGTCCAACTTGGGATCCTTAAAATTCTGGTTTATTAGGCAGATTGAAGCACTGTAATGGAGTTAAATCATAAACCTTGGGGCTGGTGTCCCCCCCCCACACACACACATGCACACACACAGTAGCAAGCTACAAGAGTCAGGTATACCTATCCCACAGGCACTGGAGTCTGCCGTTGAGGCTTCTTTCAGCATGGTGTTATCTTCCAGAAGGGGGTTGCCAGCTGGTCCTTCTGGCTGGGCAGGTCAGGTGCTGGTCAAGTTGGAGATCAAGAGGGCACCCCTGAGGGTCACTTTTCACTGCTTTTTATCTGTCCTTAGCAGACTTTGGTGACTCCCCAGTTTTCAGGTTTGCCCAATCCAGGGGTCATTGACCCTCGTGGGACTTCCCTCCTCGGTGGCTACTGGATGGCATCTGTCAGCCCCAGGGGTCGTCCGCATGTACATGCAGGTTTGGAAGTCCGTTGATGAATTTTGAATAGGGCTCTGGGAATGGTTGATCTGGAGATATTCAGCCCAAAAGTTGGTCCCCGGCGTTGATTAACTCAGGCCAGGGCTTCTAGCCCTTGATCAGTGACGTTTAGAGATTTCCCGGTTGTTACATTGTCTTCTATTGAGTTCTTCCGTTGGTTGATCTGCAGTTTCCTTAGGTGTTAATCGCTGCCTGCTACCGTGTTACACATTCAATCACTGATTCACTCGCTCTTTCAGGGGCCAGTCTGATACAGGGAACGGCAGTTTGACTCCTGCCCTTGTTAACATTGTTACAATGTATAACTTACTTATGAAACTAAACACATTTAGTTGAAAGTTGAAAGGTGAGGAGTATAAAATATAAGCTACAAAAGTAATGCCATGGCACACAAATAAGATAAAAATACCAAAATACAAGGGGAGATGCAAAATGCACACACACAAATTTCAAAACACAATTCCTTATCTTAAAGTGAAAGAAAGAAGGAAGAAAAGGTAGAAGAGGAAAAACATATCCAAGGATGGGAGAGCAACTGCAGGCAAGAGGAAAAGGGGCTTTCTGCTACAAGCCCTGCCACTAGAGGACCAGCCCCAGGCTAGTCCCAGGGCCAAGGGGTTGGGAGCCTCTCCTGCCTCAGGGCTGGGATGGCTCTATGGCAGCCCCAGTCCCAGGCCCTTAAAAGCCTGCAAGCAGTCTGAGCCCTGGGGCACATGTGCAGGGAGCCTGGGGTGACTGCTGGCCATTGCTCTCCCTACACAGGCTACAGGCCAGCTCTACCAGTCTGCTTGCACCCTGGCACTGCTCTGTGGCATCGTAGTGCCACGCAGCTGTCAGCCCTACAGGGTGCTCTAGGCTCCTGCAAGGCTTGCCAGCACCCAGGCCCAGCTGCAGCCAACTCATGGACACTGGGGCCAGTTCCAGCTGGCCGCAGCCAACCCCCAGCAGCCTGCCCAGACCCTGCAGGTGCTGTGGGACATTGCCTTGCTGCACAACTGCTAGTCCCATGCTGTGCCCCTGCATGGAGGCCTGGAGAACCAATGCAGGAGCCATGATGGCCTCATCACCAACACCATATGCCATCTCCTGGATTCCCAACTGGTCACAGGAAGAAACTGGAGACCTTGTAGTGCTGTGGGGTGAGGCAGAGGTGCAAAGGCAGTTCATGTGGGGCGGGCACTCTAATGTGCATGTATATGAGGGGCTGAAAGTTATATTTTAGTTAAATTGAATGTTGAATATTCTGTGTTCACTCTGGCTTGATAATGCTTTTGCAATCCTTTAGTGCCATAGGTGTGTGACAGCCCGACAGCTCCATGACCTCAGACCCAGCCACAAGGTGCAGCTGGCCATGTCACCACCAGCTGGAGCAGCACCAGCTCCTCCCTGGGGGCCTACCCAGGCAGCTGCAAGCCGTGCCCTTCTTATTGACAAGTCTTCCAAGAGCTGCACATGGTCACTGCCAGCCGGACTGACGTAAGCCACCAGGTACACCATACCCACCCATGTGGTAAGCCCTGCACTAGGTGGAGGGGGTGCTTCCAGCCCTGGCTCCTGTCCCTGGCTCCTATCCCCGGGCATGGCCTTTGCCCCAGCCTCACTTACCAGCCTGGCCACGCTCCCCTGGCCCATGGATTCCTTCCCCCATAGCACACAGGGAAGCAGGAGACAGCGCAAAACTTTACTGAACAGCCTGTATCCCCATAGATAGGTGGGTACAGGTTTCTCACATGCCGAGAACTGTGTTAATGCTGGTGGTGATGTCCTCCTTGCTTGCAGGGGGCAGAGACATACAGCACAGTCACAAGTAGCCCTTCAGATGGCGGTGGAGGTTGTGGGGCAGTGCAGGCTTGCCTGCCACACCGTCAAAACTCAGGGTCCTGTGCCAGGTGCACATGTGCGTCTGGGGCACCATGATCATAAGAAACAGCAGGGCATAGTGGGTCAGGCACCCCTGGGTCCACGCAAACAGCTCCTTGTGCTGCACCAAGGACACGTACAGCAGTAGCACGTGCAGGGCACAGAGTGGCTATTGGGGGAGGTGGGGACTGGCCCCAGGATGCCTCTCTGGGGATGCCCCTGCAGGAACGGCAGGGGTGCAGGCAGCTCCTCGTCCCAGTCATCCAGAAGCTCCATGCCTCCTGAGCCCAGGTGCCATGGGCTTGGTGGCAGCACAGGAGACAGGCTAGCCTGCACGAGGAGAAACGGGGAGAGTGGGTCTGGAGCCTTGGCAGCAGGAGCTGCCAGGAGCCTGGCATGTTCTGGCCTAGGAATAGGGTGGGGGAAGCAAGCTGCCTGCAGCCAGCACCCAGCAGCCCACTAGACCCTGGGGAGCAAGTGGGGATAGGGGGCTTGGATGGCGGTCACCCGGGCCCAGGCCTGTCCAGCCAACTTACCATGGTCCATGGGCACCTGTGCATGCATGACCCCTGATTTGAGGCCAGACAACGCATAGCTTTCCTGGTACAGAGCATCTAATTTCAGATATGTTGCAAACTCTCATAAACAGCTTCTTATGGCTGTGCAGGTCCAGCAGCTGCACATAGGGGAGAGGCAGCAGTTGGCAGCCAGGATGCACTGTCAGGGTCACCACCACTGATGGCTGGGGCCCTGCGATGCGGCAGTTCCATAGGAAGAGGATCCAGGACTGGACCTTCCTTCTGGACTGGCTGGTAAACGCGGCAGAGGATGTCACCTGTCAGGACAGGTGGTGGATGAAAGCTTTCATCTGCCAGGACATGCCGGACTGGAGTGGGGAAGTGTGGGACCAATGCAAGGAAGCGCGGGACCAGGTAAACCAGGAATACAGGGTGCAGCTCCTGGCCCTGGAGAAGCAGCATGTGGAGGCCCTGGAGCAGCAGGCTGTGTTCGTGGCCAGGGCAGTGGAAGCCATGGAGAACGACTGCAGGGTGCTGGACACCATCCTTGTCCTGGCAGTCACCTGCATGCCACCCACTGCCCTGCCCCTGGTAGTAGCCCTGCCTGGCCCCTGACAGCCACCTGCCACCCAGCAGCAGTCCCCCACGTGGGCCTGGGCAGAGGTCCAGCACTGCCTCCACTAGCCAGAAGCCCCTGCCCTGGTCCCCACCCTGGGTCCCTCACCATCAGCCCTTTTGCCTGGTCCCAGCCCCATCACTTGCCCCGACTCCACGCAGGCATAGAGCAGGAGCTGCCTGCAACAGGGCCAGGACCGCGTGCCCATGCTGCTGGCCCTGCCCACTGGCTGCCGCAGAGGGAGCCATGCATACCAGGGGAGAAGCGGCTGCCATGGCCTCTGAACAAGTCCCCCCACTCCA